TGCCGTCCAAGCAAGAAGAGCAGCGTATCAAAATTTTGCTCGCGCATCGCGAAAATCCGAGCTACTCGCACGCAAAGTTGGCAAAATCGCTAAAAGTTGCCAAATCAACCGTTACAAATGTAATTAAAGTGTTTGGGGAACGTTTGTCGACAGCCAGGAAGTCTGGATCGGGGGGAAATCGAAAACCGGAAGCCGCTGAGACGACAAAGAGAGTTGCCGGTAGTTTCAAGCGAAACCCTAACCTCTCTCTCCGAGATGCCGCAAATAAGCTGGGTGTATCGTCTACAACCGTGCATCGAGCCAAAAAACGAGCCGGACTATCGACTTACAAGAAGGTAGTGACTCCAAATTGCGATGATAAACAAAATACGACGGCCAAAGCGCGATCCCGGAGGCTGTACACGACGATGCTGACGAAGTTTGACTGCGTGGTAATGGACGACGAAACCTACGTCAAAGCCGACTACAAGCAGCTTCCGGGACAGGAGTTTTATACAGCAAAAAGAAGGGGAAAGGTAGCAGATGTTTTCAAGCACATGAAACTGTCAAAGTTCGCAAAGAAATATCTGGTTTGGCAAGCCATCTGTACCTGTGGCTTGAAAAGCAGCATTTTCATAGCTTCCGGGACTGTCAACCAAGAAATTTACGTGAAAGAGTGTTTGAATAAACGTCTGCTGCCTTTCCTGAAGAAACACGGTTGTTCCGTACTGTTTTGGCCGGATTTGGCATCTTGCCATTACGGTAAAAAGGCCATGGAGTGGTACGCCGCCAACAACGTGCAGGTGGTTCCCAAGGACAAGAACCCTCCCAACACGCCAGAGCTCCGCCCAATTGAGAAATACTGGGCTATTGTCAAGCGGAACCTAAAGAAGACCAAAAAAACTGCTAAGGGCGAGCAGCAGTTCAAGGCAAACTGGCTTTCTGCGGCGAAGAAGGTGGACAAGGTGGCTGTACAAAATCTGATGGCAGGGGTCAAGCATAAGGCCCGGCAATTCGGATTTGGAAAAGCGGAAGCCTAACTGAATATTTTTCCTGAATTTTGTACTAATTGAACTTGAAAAAGAAATTTAATTTGATTTTTTAAATAAACGATTTCACCGATTTACACGCGTTTTCCCTTGACCAAATTTTGACCGTATCACCCTTTAGTGGCTTGGGAAATGTGTAAGTCAAATCGTTTAAATGTTTGAAAAATAATATAAATTAAGAGAGCTTCGATTTTTTTTAAATCTTCTTAAAAGTGAGGAGCATATACAATAGACTGATGCAAAATTTGAAATTTTCGCTCCACTGTGCTCAAGCGGTTTCAAAACAGGTCCTGATTAGCCTCCCAAAATTTAAACTAATGTGGTAAGAAACTGACTTGGCACAAACTATTCGAAGTTTAGATGGAAATTACTATGGAAAAACCAAACTTTTTGTTCATCTTATTCTACCCATTTTCCATATTGCTTTTTCGAAAATGTCTATAACTATTCTTACGAGAAATTTTCTAAGCTACAACTTTGCGCAAAATCGTTTTTCAGCCAAATTTCAAATTAAATTGTTATTAATTGTTTAAGAGATTGATAATCTTACGGCAAGATTAAGCAACTGTATTGTGGGCAACACTGTATTCTGTAGTGTGACATAGTAGCCATGATTTTTGTCCTCTATTCTACGCGCCATAAAGACCAATGTTGCCTGCTGAACAGTTGATTGAGCATAATCATAAGACATAAGTGACTTGAATCATTAATAATTTGTGTTCCTTTCATTTGATCGAAAAGTGGTCTTCAACAAAGTTGTAGCTGAGAAAATCATCAACAAGCTCAGTTATCATTTTCTAAAGTAAAGTGAACTGGTGAATTTTGGAGATAGATATGAACAAAAACATAAGTTTTCCCATATATACTTGAAATGGTTTGTGCCAAGTCAGTTTCTTACTAAAGTAGTTCAAATTTTGGGAGGCTAAGCAGGACCCAATTTGAAACCGTTTAAGTACTGTGGAGCGAAAATTTCAAATTTTGCATTAGCCTAATATATAAGTTTGGGAGACTTCAATGAAGTTAATGAAACATTTTTTAATTGCAGGAGACTCTATTAAATTCAAGGACCCTTTTTTATCTTTAGCAGTTCTTTGAAAAAATAAAATAATTTAGAATATTTTAGACAGGGGAAATGTCTCTAATGTTGGCCTATGGATCTAAGATTGGGCCCATCGCTAAAAATCTGCTATTTATCAATTTTATCTAGAGGAACGCGTTATTGGGACGTTACAAATATATATATTTTTGGTTGCTATTGAAAATTTAGTCGATTGCTGAATTTATATATGGGCCCAAATTAGGGACACTTAGGCCGACATTACCTGCATTTCCCCTAATTGCAAAGAATTAAAAAAATTTTGTTAAATAAACAAAATTTTTAAATGTTCGGCAAGCTTCATATAAGGGCAGTGAATTTATGGTAGCTCAGCGATCTTTGTACAAGTTGAGTGAATCAAATAGAAAGAGAATCTTCGTAAAACTTCTTTGAAGAGTAAGGAATTCTGTAGAAGTTCAAGGAACTTCATAGAAGCTCGGCTACATTTTCAAGAATGTTGTGGAATTCAGGCAGTTTTGTAGATGGGAATATTGTAGAAATTCAACATGATGTTCTGAGATCTTGGTCGAATTTCCGGGAACAGTAAATGAGACATAGGAAATATGTACAAGTTCAGTGATCTTGGTAACGATTTAATTGTAGTTTGTGTAAACTATAAACAAATCGTATAAGTTCGGAAAACTTCGTGAAAGGGGACGCAATTTTCCAGCAATTCGCAGAACTTTCAACAAATTTAGGGAATTCCCTAGAGACTCAGCGATAAGTTAGAATCATTGGGAAGAAGTTCAGGGAGCTTTATTTGAGTTCATAGAATTGAATTAAAGAAATTTTGTAGAAGTACATGAACCTTCATGTAAGTTTTATAGTTGATATTCATGTATTTTCAATATGATTTCAATAAATTTCTCTGGATGTTGTTCAAAGTCTTGAAAAATTAAAAGGTTTTTTGAGCACTATTCTGAACAGAGACGCGAGGAGTGGGTGGGACAGATGGGACATGTCCTACGCACAAACATACCTGGGTGGGACAGTTCAAGCTTTGTCCCACCTACGATTTTTCAGACAACTTATTTAGTTAAAGCCCTGAATTTAGTTAAAACCCTTATTTCTCCCTATCTCGATGACTTGGGCAGTCCATTCAGATTTCTATACATCCAGTTTTCTATAGAGTAGGATGCGGCAAGATAGCCACCATAGGGTTAAAATCAACCGACTCCATAGAGTTCTCTACCACCGTTAGTACTAGTGAGCAGTTTCACTAATACAAGCGTTTTACCGGTTGAAAATAAAAACCAAACCGCTGTCAAGTCGAACACTTTGACAGCTGGTTTCGTGGTTGAAAATAATAAACAAATCGATTTTACACGGCTACACTAGCAACGTTGTATTGGTGAAATCTTGCGGCAAGAAGTCAATATGTCGATGGAAAAATCAAGTTCGTCATTTTCTCGACGCTTGGAGTAAGCGAGTTTTGCATTGGATGCTCTGCGAAGTATTTCTAGAATCGTACTAGTAGGCTGATAAATTTCTGTTCTGAATGTCGATCTCTTCCTATCTCAATGGTCCCTTCAATATCAAGAAATGGAAAGTTAACTGTAATAGAAACTCCGATTGAAGTGCTCATACGATTAGAAAAGAGAGATGAATTGTCATGTAATTTAAGGTGATGGATTTTGGCTCTAAGTAGCTAAATTGTTACTACGGCTGAATTAGTTTTTGAACTGGAACTAGTTCACGATTTCAAAAAGACCGTAGTACCTTGCGTCCCACCTACATCTTTGAAGGTGGACGCGCCTCTGATTCTGAAGATCAGTAACACTTGTTCACAGGTTCAAACTTTATATGAGACGTTTGCGTGCGCAATTCCTCCGTGCACTGACGTTTGAAACTTTGTTTACAATAGCAGATACCTGATTTTTAAAAATTTATCCTTGAATTTATATATAAAGTCGCTCGTGCTCACCCCAAAACGAACTTCGCTTTGTTCAAGTTTATTTAAATCAATCTACAACTCAGAAGCACGATGAATCGGCTTTTATTTTATTTTCATTCGTCGAATCTGTCGTTCTCAAATCAAAACATAATCCAAACAATCCTATCACGATGCTGTCAGCACCATCAGCACAAAACCAGGCTTTTTTCGGATTGCGATCCAATATCGTACTCGCCGCGCTCGGTTGCACTCCTATATTGTATGCTCAATCGATAAACAGCATGTATCCTTGTTACCAAGCCAGGGTTGCTACTATACTACGCGCCTATAGTGACCTATAATTTCCACAAAAGTATAGCTAGGTGCGTGTACCAGACTGATAGTCGCCACTATTTTTTCTATAATAACCTGTTAGAAAGTCGATTTAACTAGTACAGCCCTTACTCAACATCGCCTACAGGAGGAGAGTCTATTTAAAGCAATCCTGTCTAGGAAGCGAACTATTTCCCCGACCTTTATCAGTGCACAGTCAGGTTGGTTCCTCGAAACAGCAAAAATCGATACTACAACCAATCCAAGCGCCACTACTCTGCGAGAACGGCGATAACGGAAGGATGACATGGCTGCACCCTTTCGTTGAACGAGTGGGAGGGTGGGAAAAACAGTCCACCGCGGTCGTCGGTTGGCGGATTTTTGCTGCTTGATTATTTATCAGTTCTCGTTTTAGTCACGTGTCTCACCGTCTCACCGTCACCGCATGCCGGATTTAATGGTCATTAATTATCGCTGAGCACTCTAATAGGTTAAGTTGGCAATTAGCGTCGTTCTTTTCTGTTCCATCGGTGAAGAATGTCCCCCGTGGCATTCATTCACTAAAGCGTAGTTAGTTGTAGATTTCAATCGGAAGTGATTTATTCATTGAACTGACTGAATGTCCATTGTTTTCTTTCATTCCAGAGAATTTTTACTCAAATTTATACTCATCCCTCTAGTCGCAATGTTCGCACTTTGGTACTTTTCGCTCGCTGTGGACGAAGTCAGGTAAGTGATACGAATTGCACTTGCAATCTAATCAACCGCTTAAAGACGCTTAGCCTCTGTATGATGCAGCCTCGCGATAGTTGACACAATGCTTCAATAATAGCGTCTGACTTGGTTGGTATTTACTGAACAGACATCTATAAACAGTGAATCATTTTGTGCTGAGACATTTAATTTGACTCACACTTGACATCACCACTTTACATTTATTTACTGTGTGTAGCGCAGTGTGTTCTACGACGATGGTGGTAGATGAACATTTTATAAGATCCTAACTGCAGTGATCGATTTTCTTCATCGAAAACGTAGTACGAAATCTGGTTGCACAGCTGTGGTTATCAGAAAAGAAAGTCGATCGAAAGCAGATAGGACCTTCTGAAATGTCCATCTAGATTTGGGCGCCGTCGCCGTCTGCCAGTCGTTCGTCGCTTCGTCGCACCGTCGTCGTCGGGTCGGCATGATTGGCGTCGCTTATTGCCAAGTCACGTGATACAAATCCGTCAGGGGAAACGTACACATGTAGCAGATTGTCGCTGTTCAGTCTATCCTTCTGCAACTGAGATTTTTGACGTCGCGTATTTCTTGTTTTCATCATTATCATGGTGATGTTTGGGAAATTATTATCGAAACTGTGCGAAATTGTTGAATCTTTATTATTCAATTTGAACCTCGATCGGGTATCCAGATTGGGTCTGCTTGTTTTCTGACAACCGTCAGTTTGAGTTCTGCCTCACACTGTAGCTGGCAAGTACACATTAATGGATGAAAAAACACCCATTTCGAAGTTAAGTAGGTTAACTTAGAAAGCCTCAGGTGGAGAAAATGAAGGTTTTTAAAACTGCAAGATTCTTATGGAATTTGTATAATTTATGGATTAATTGATAAAAGAGATAAAAATGACAAATCAAGAACATTAACTTTATTTATAAATTTTACCTCCACTGCTGTTTATAAAGTTCCATCCTGCAGTGTTCAGTGTTCCAATCGTTCTTGAAACATATGATGCTTGGTCAGCTCTCTCGGGATCTCCTTGCTGATGGAGTAAGTTAGTCGCTGCAAGTTCCATATTACAGAAATAAATAAACTAAGAAATACTTGCTTTTCAAACAATTTACCGCCTCCTCCAAAATGGATTTCCGTTCGACATCTGCAAAACAAGCGTAGACAAAGATCGAAGTAGGCCGCGCTGCGAGAATGACATAATTTTGGTTTGCTGCGTCGTATTCGCTCTTGCAAAAATTAAAATAATTACAATTTTGATCTAGAAAAAAGTTAAATTTAAAGCACAGAAGCATTGGCGTAGCTAGAAAATTTTACTGGAAGGGACCTAGGGAGGGCTGTTTGCATTTTGTTTTGTTTTGTTAAACTACAGATAGAAACTCTGAAACTGCCATTCAATCAAAAGGCGTCAAAGCTATTTATTATTTTAATACGACCTATTATGGCGAAGCTAAATATTATTGTAATGATGCTCCCCTTATAAGCATACTGATTTTGAACAAGCAATGGTCGTTTGTTCAAGCTGTTTTTTAATGAAATAACATATTGTTCGGATTTCATAAGGATTTTAAGGATCTCAAACTAAACAAAATTCTCATGTTAGATCATTCTAAGAGTTAGATAGAATTTCGTAACTAGATTTTAATTAGATGATCCATATTTAATCATCAATCAAATCATAGACATAGGTACCAACCGAGGGGGAAGACGGCTTTCATTTGAGTACATCTAAAATTCTCTTTTATTCAGAGTTGCTCAGAGCTAGTCTGATTTGCTCTGGGATCTGATCTAATTTGCGACGAAAACAGAATTAGTTTGGCATATAGACATTGAAATCTGACCATGCAATTGTTAGTTTGGATGCAATATTTGAGGTTCATGGAATCCCTCCACTTCGCGTTTTCACTGGCACTGGCCACCCACAAGTCATACAGGTGGGCAAATTTAATGAAATGCTTGCCTCTCTGCAGCAGACATGTAGATTAATCTTGAACTTTGTCCATTAAGTAGATCACCAGATGTGTGCCCGTGAAACAGCGAAAATTATAAAGAATTTATCTAGAATTTTTTGTTATACCTCGGGCTAACTAACTTTCGAGATCACGGGGTCAGATATAAAATCAAGATTGAAGTCCCAAATTTAACTTCAATTCCAATCGAAAGGAATGAACTCCTAACTTGTATGATTGTGTCCCTGTGTGAAGTTAGATACTATTTGAATTTCTTTCTACAAACGCTTATTGGTTTAATTTTTTTTATTTGAAATTGTGCTAGTTTTGGTTGAACCCATTAGGTGCCAATTTATTATTTACTCGTCCTTTATACGGATAAGAGCTTTTTCGTTATTTTTATTTTTTATATTATCAATGTTTAATGTTCTAAACCATACACACTAAATCGTGCTAATTCTTGAAAAAAAAAATACTAAATCACCAGTCTTCTCTATAGAAAATGTACTAACATGTCCGTGAGCTTCTTTTAGTTGGAGTACTTTTGAATACTTTCTGATCAACCTGCAGTCTTGAAAGAATATATGAGATACTTCATATGTATTTTCAAACAGTTGGGGATCTGCAGAACTTGATCATCCAGAAGTCTTGAAAAAAGTATAACAAGAACTTTACTAATATCTTCGTCTATCTGGAGATCTTTTGAATCTTACCTGTTGTTTAGGAAGAATGTCTGAAAGAATGTCCTGTAACCTATGCAACGTGCACTCATCATCTTCAAAACTCCCTTTAAGCTTCACGAAATTTTCTAAATTTCTGCGAAGTTCCCTGAAATTATACCAAATTCTAAATGTTTTCCATTTCTCTTAATTATAGGATTACTTCTGAAAAGACCCCCATCATTTACCGATAGTCTTGAACACCTGGAAAGTTCCTTGAAATTGAGTGAAGTTCCCAAAACTTCCTAGAAGTTCATTGAAGTAAGATCTCTGACAAACTGCAACGAAGTTCCTTAAACTGAAGCGAGGATCCCTGAAGATCTTAGAAGTTGGCTGAAATATTTTTTAGATCTCCTACAAAATTCCTTGCACTTATATGAAGTTTTATCCAGCTTCTCAAAATGCTACGAAATTCCTGCACTTCCACGTATGGAATTTCTTGAACGTGTACATAATGCCCTGAACAATTCCAAGCTCATGAGAAAAAGTATCCTGTAATTATATGAAGATCCCCGAACAATAATGAGAGTCACTGAAATTAAATAATGTTTAACATCTGCGAAGATCCCAAAACTTAAATAGATATCTGCAAAAAAAAACAATCACTAAATGTCCTAACTATTTCCCACGGAATAATGTTGGGTAAATTTACTAAAACTAGCTTTGTTTAAACAATTAACCAACCGGATTTTATTGAAGTAAATCTTTATTCTATTTTGTTTGAGTCGGAGTCGGTGATTATTTTAAAATCAGAGGAGTCGATCGATTTAGACCCGAATGCAAAGACCTGATATTTATACTGCTTGCCAATTTGATTTAGCTAGGGTTTACACTGATTGACGACAAATAAAATAAATAAATAAAGTCTGAGGGGAAATTGGACTATCATTTCCTGAATATAGATTCTATTTAGAGTTTTTTTTTTAATCTTTCCTAAGAATTTATTTTAAATGTTTATACAATTATTTAAAGGAAATTATGTGGTATTTTTCACGGAATTTCCTTTAAGTTGCCTTATGAATCTTATCCAGTCTTCCTCTGAAATAATCCTCCGAATAACCATTACATTCTGTATATAATTCTTATTGAATGCTTATCAGAAATCTCTTGAGATTCTCTTTAAAATTAATGTGCTAATCTCCTCAAGATCCCTTAATTCAATTCGCATCAAAATCACCTAGTAAATCTAGTAAGTTCTCCTCACAACTCCCTTGGAGTTCTTTTAAGAATAATCTAGAAATTTATTATAGAACTTCTTTTCCTCTCCCCTTGACAAACATGTCAGAATTCCTTAGGACTTCATCTCAGATTTATTTTGAAATTCTGGTCAAAGCTACTTTGTATCTTACCCAGAGTTCTGTAGGAATCATACTCAGCATTTCTTTAAATTATCACAGAAATCCAAAGGTGTTCTAGTTAGAACTAAATTCGTGAAATTCCTTCATTTTTAATAACCTCTGATTGTCCTCAACATGTCGGTGGATGAAGGGCCCAAAACGGATTGGATGGATCGAAAGGCAAAGTCGCCTATACGCATCTAAGGGACAGTAAAGAATCTCCTTCCAGCAACATGGCACAATTGATCAAAAAGACGAGCCCCCAAACAGGAAGAGGCTCCAATAAGTGGCGAGAAGAGCCCGCCTTTAATCCACGAAATGTTATCAACAGGGAGTTTGCATTCCCCATCTCCCCGTCCAGATAGCTTCAATCTGGTGTCCTGATCTTCTTCTTATTCTTCTTAAAATTTCAAGCTTATTGCATATCGTATATTAGCATATTGCGTGCTCTCAAGTTAGTGTTCTAGGTGCACTTCCACAGTTATTAATTGAGAGCTTTCGATGCCTGTACCATTTTTGCATTAGTATAATTGTGTGGCAAGTACAATCATACTCTTTGTTAAGGGAAGTAGAGAAATTTTCCAACCCGAAAAATTCCCAGACCGGACCGGGTATCGGACCCACCTCCAGCATGGTCTCGCTTTGTAGCTGCACCTTTACCGACTGAGCGAAGGGAGGCCTCTTTACTCTAATTTTCCCTCCCAATCCCAGCATTGTTTTGTATTTTGATCACATTTCGCTGTTTCTTCAGATCTTACATCCCGTAACGTACCACGATAAGGTGATCTACCCACGTAACGGGGCAGATATATGCATTATTAGCAATGCTGTGATATAACTACAACGGGATGGCCGTTCAAAATGGTTCAACGGATGTGAAATGAGGGAACATTAAAATTTAAGACGATTTAAAGTATTTCAATGCACCTTTTAAAGTGAATTATATATAACAATGTCCAGTGTCATCACTTAAGGCCCAAACGCAATATGGGCGG